CTCTCTCTCTCTCTCTCTCTCTCTCTCTCTCTCTTTCTCTCTCTCTCCCTCTCTCTCTCTCCCGTGTGATTTAGTTTTTTTTCTTTGGTTTTCATTTTTTTTCATTTTTTTACATTTGATTTTTTTTTTTCTTTCTTTGTTCTTTTTCTTTTGTGTTATGCCGAATGAATTGGGGTCGGCCATTCAGCAACGACTGGACCTTCCCTTTGCCGAGCCCCTAAGGCTGCGGCGCAACCACCAGTACTTTGGTCATATATAAGCCCCGTGCCTTACCCATTAACGCGCCGCAGTTCTAGGGGTTCGGGAAAGGCTCAACAGAGCGGCGGCAGTGCAATGGAGGAAGAAGCCTGTGGGTCCAAGGAAATGGTCCGAATGGACTGTAAGCTGTCTTGTCTTTATGCCGTGCATGTGGAAACACATGCACGACGCTGAAAGCAACGACGGACGAAAAAAAGAACGAAACGAAAAGCTTCAGCCAGCTTCATCCTACTACTGTCAGGAATGTTTATGACTGCAAATGGGGAATTGTACATTCGCTAAGATAGTTGAAGATCACGGGGAGGAGCAGTGCAGGCTCCTTCGGAAGCTGCACCGTAATCATGACGCTGAAGGTAATAAAATAAAAAAAGAAATGAAAAAGGAAAACGACTGTGTCAGGGCATTATCGTGCAAAGGACTGTTGGAATGTATGAGACCGTCATTGGGAAACTATGCATTTGAAGAAAGAAAGCAGAAGTTCACGGGAACCTTCAGAAGCTGCACCGTAATCATGACGCTGAAGGTAATAAAATGAAAAAAAAAATGAAAAAGGAAAAGGACTGTGTCAGGGCATTATCGTGCAAAGGACTGCTGGAATGTGTGAGACCACCATTGGGAAACTACGCATTTGAAGAAATAAGGCAAAAGTTCACGGGAACCTTCAGAAGTTGCGACCCTCAGCATGATGCTAGAGGGCATAAACTGGAAAAAAAAAAAAATGAGGAAAATGACCGTTGGAATGTATGTGACTTTGAATGGAGAACTGTACATTTGCACAAAGAAGCAGAAGGCACGAGGCATCTACAACCTGCCAACCTCATGATGGGGAAATGCAAAAAAAAAAAAAAAAAAAAAATGGTCGTTTCAGCTGGGCTGGGCCGGCGCCCGGCCGGGCGGACCCCGGCCGGTTGGGCCCGGGGGGGTCCGCCCGGGTGAACCGGGCGACGCAAAAACCAGGCAAGGAATTTTTTTTTTTTTTTTCTGAAGGTGGGGCTGTGCTGCGCTGCACTAGAGGACCCCGAATCTACAATAAAAGATTGAACTTAGTGGGTGGGGGGT